GATAGTTAAGCTTTGTCTCTCATACTTTGGACATATTGTACGGAGGGCAGTCACTGAAGAAAGATGTCATGCTGGGTAAGGTGGAGGGTCAGAGAAAAAGAGGAAGACCCCTAACAAGATGGATTGGCCAGGTGGCATCATTGATGGACTCAAGTGTGGCAGCGGTAGTGAGGTTGGCCCAGGATCAGATATTGTTTCATTCTGCTGTGCATGGGGTTGCTATGATTTGGTTCCGACTCGATGGCACCTGACAACAACAACAACAACTCAGCTTATATGATCAGCATACAGGTTGAATAAATATGGTGAAAGAATACAACCCTGTTGGATAGACACAGAGGACTAGAGCAGAGAGTAAAGCATCCAACTGACATGAAGTGAGGGGAGATGCTCAAGAACACCCATACTTGCAGATAGTACCCATTTGACCTAGCTTCAGTAGCTGGATGACCAGAGCTCAACTAAAGGAAGAAAGAAGAGGGGAAAAAAAGAGTAATCTGCTATAATTTCATTAACTTGACATATATTTATGGATGTTGTAGCTTAAACAAGGGAACAAATCTTCATAACAAGGATCATTCCTACCTCCTCTGTACGTAGGGTTGACAGTGACAGCCAACTCAGACACTGGCTACCTAAAATGGGGGCTATAAAGGCATGAAGTGACTGGCTTACAAGTTTTCAAGAGAGAGTTTAGTTTCAGAAGGTGCAGGTGAAGGTAAAATCTCAACTGAGTGGTTTTCAATCTGTCTAGATGGGGCTGGTGTAAGGAGATGGAAATAAGACTCTTGTGGTTCAACAGTGAAAAATTGTTATCAGGAATGATTTGCAATTGTTGCAAATTTAAAGGTAGATGTTTTGTAACAAAAGGAGGTGAGTGGTTAATATTGCAGTCCAGGACCAGAGGACCCTGGGACCATCAAGGGAGAAGAGCAGAGTGTGGGACCCTACCCAGAGAAGCAATGACACCAGAGATGGAGGTAGAGACGATGACATGGAGAGATGGAGCAGCTGGGGACTCTGGACTCAAGGAGGGAGAGGGGCTGTGTGCTGTCGGCCAGGGGACAGGTTTACAGGGTATTCCCTTTGGTTGTTTGAATGATTATATATTCCTGAGTGCTTTGGTATACACTCCCTAACCCCCCCAAAAAAAGAGAAAGAAAACAGAGGTAATGGGAGCAAATGCTGTTGAATGATGATGCAATCCGTCATTGCAATGAAATGAAATACAATAGGATGAGTGTAAAGCTGATGTTCTCCCATGTAAACTTTCACTCAAATCACAAGAAAAACTTAAAAATAAATAATAACAATACAACCCTGTCACACACCTTTCTTAATTTTAAACCATTTAGTGTTCCCATGTTCTGTTCAAACAACTGCTTGTTGGTCCATGTACAGATTCTTCATGAGCACAATTAAGTATTCTGGAATACTCATCCTTCGCAATATTGTCCTTCTCATACTTTGCAATGTTCAGTAATGGTAACCAGGCATTATGGCCTTATGGCAAAGGAGGCCTTTATTCATGGAGGCTTGTAAGTAGCAATCCAAGGTGCAATAATTGGACTCCTGGTGTGGTGCTGTAATATTGGCACTGGACTATAAAACACAAGGTTGGCATTTCAAACCCAGAAGCAGCTCCTTGGAAACCCTATACAGGGTCTTTATGAGTTAGAACCAAGTGAATGGCACTTAACATTTTTTTTAAATGATGTTGGTCACTTATTTTTGTTCCTCCTAAATCCTGTTTTGGAACACAGTGATTCCATGGGATAAGCATTGGACTGTGAACCAGAGAGTCGATGTTCTAACCCATCAGCCACTCCATGGTGAAAGTGAGGTTTTCTGCGTTCTCAAAGATGTAAAGCTTCCAAAAACTTATACAAGGTCTCTATGAATTGGAAACAACTCAATGGTCCCTAACAACAAATACTGTTTATGATTCCTCCCACTTTTCTTTTGCTTTTTTACTGCTTCTGTCTATTTCCCAATAGCCTTATTTTCTTTAAGAATACTACCTCAAACTTCTCTAAATCTTGTCCCAAAGTCATATGAGATCTTGCTTTCCTCTCGATTCTGAAGGTATTTCTCGTTTTCTAGATGACACTTAGCATACCCCTTCTTGTCCTTTGTTGCCAATACAAGTAACATGCTTCAATCCTCTCTCTACAATGCATTCTGCAGAAAAATCTGATTTATTCCCTTGCCTCAGTCCTCCCCCAATGATTGTGAGTTGATTTGAATCCCAAGACACTATATATTTATCCCTCTATATAGTACTGATATTCAAAATATTTAGCCAATGGAATAGCATGGGCATCAAACACCCTGCCATGGACCAGTCAGGAAGGACACTGGCTAAGAACTAATATGGCTGAAATTAATCTGCCTCTGATTTGTTCTTTTTAGTTGCCATCATTTTTGTTGTTGTTAAGTGCCATAAAGTTTCATAGTAACCCCATATATAAAGTTTCCAAAGAGCAGCAAATAAGTTTGAACCACTTACCTTGTGGTTGGCAATCAAGTGCTTATCCTACACTGTCACATCAGGACTCCATGGAGTAGAATTTAATTCATGGCAACCTCATGTGCAACAAAATCGAATGTTGCCTGGTCCTACATCATCTTAATGATCATTGAAATATTTGAGTTCACTTGTTGCAGCTGTTGTGTTATGCCTTCCAACTTAGAGTGCTCATTTTCCAGTCCTATACTGGGAAATATTCTATTGTCATCAGAGGGTTAGCTGGTTTTCACCAGATATCACCAGACCTTTCTCCCGAGACTGTTGCAGTCTGGAAGCTCTACAGGAAATTGTCTACTATGAATCACTGTTCTGGTACGAGGGGACGTCAAAGAAGGTGGGGAAAGTTTCAAACACAACTGTGTTTTGTTTTGTTTTTCATCCTTGGTTTAAATATAGCTCCATCGAAAGAAGTGGCAAAGAACAAGGCACCAGGAATTGATGGAATAAAAATTGAAATCTTTCAAGAAAGTGAGTCGGCATAAGAGGCACTCAACTCATCTCTGTCAAGAAATTTGGAAGACAACTATCTGGCCAACTGATTGGAAGAGATCAATATTTATGCCCATTCCAAAGAGAGGTGACCCAACAGATTGCGGAAATCATCGGACAGTCTCTTTGATATCTCAAGTGAGTAAAGTTTTGCTAAAGGTAATACAGAAACGGCTACAATCATACATTGACAGAGAACTTCCAAGAGGTTCAAGCTGGATTCAGAAGAGGCCGTGGAACGAGAGATAGCATTGCTGATGTCCGATGGATCTTGGCTGAAAGCAGAGAATATCAGAAGGATGTTTACCTGTGCTTTATTGACTACGCAAAGGTTTTCAATTGTGTGGA